TGTGTGTGTGTGTGTGTGTGTGTGTGTGTGTGTGTGTGTGTGTGTGTGTGTGGGTTGACCTTTGACACTGGTCCTGTGTTGTCCACCCTCAGATAGCATCTGGCCTTTATTCTTGTTTTCTGTATCACTATTACACGCATAACAGAAAGTTTGTCAAATCCCTCGGCCCTGGTTCCCATGAGCACAGCACGAACATGCGTGCATGCATAATAACTGGAAATGGTCATACGTTTCCCATCCTAAGGTTTTAACATTTTGTACAGTTACAGAGGCCAACCCTAAGGAAAGGCTTTATTAGAATAAAATCAGCCAGGGATGAAAACTGTGCCTCTGAGCATGGTTTAACATCAAAGAGACTGTAACCCTAACCCCCTAACTCTGTGTGACAGCAATGCAGTTCACCAGCTAAAGAACAGTGACACTTTAAGGTTGACCTTCATGTATGTAGCTGTAAAAGTTCACTGTGTCTCACTATTAACCCATTACATACATTTTAAGTTCAAGTGAAGATCAGACAGTTTTCTTTAACCAAAACATTGGTTAAAGAAATCTCTCAGCAGTAATACTGATACAGTAGGGATTCAATTAATTATGTATTCAATAGCTTGTTTTGTCCACCAAACTGTCCACCACCCAAACATTATTTAGTTTACTTTCACAATTCAGATATAAAGAAATGTGGCAAACTTCACAACTGCCAACCTGGAGATTGGGTGCCAAATTGCTTGTAAAATCCCTATACATTTTTTAAATAAATTATCAAAAAAGTTGTCAAAACCTTTTCCAGTTATTGACCAAACATTATTTAGCTTTAGGCTGCAGCCACATGGAGACGAAACGGGTCGTATCCGCTACAGTTCTCTATCTTATAGACGGTTCGGCCACACGAGGCCGACAGGGAAACGCAGATAACGATAACGGGTCCCAAGCATAGGTCCCAAGGTGGGTAGATCTGCGGACGCAACGGCTCCGTGCCCATCCCTATACGATCATTTCCTGATAACGATGACGCATTAGCCCCGCCTCTCCCCGCCTCTGCTGATCACTGCTGTAGCATGGTCAGTAGCTACTGTCAGTAGTAGCTGTCAGTAGCTACTGCTACTGTTACTGACCATGCTACAGATGTTAGTGCAAAATCTACAGCTCCTCTACCACAACCATCAGCAACAAGTGGACATGGAGAACTACATGAACAACATGTTGCTAAATCCATCGCGGAGAATAAACAGAAGGGCAACCAGGCAACCATGGCAACCATGCTCGGGGGGGAGGTCTTCTTCGCTGCTTTTGGTGTATTTTGTGGCAGAAGTACAGCGCCACTTACAGGCCCGGCATATGTACTACAGCGTCTCCAGCGGGTCGAGTGGTCTCGTGTGGACGGAAGACTTTTTTGATATCGAATTCGGTTCGTTTTCGTTATCATCTCCGTGTGGCTCCAGCCTTAGTTTCCAGCGCTGTAATCCTGACTCAGTCTAGTCACTCATCTTCATCAAAGTTAATTGAGCAAACACTGATTTTGTTGTGATGATCAAATTAATTGATTGCCTCTGCAGCCTTTTTCAATTTAGGTCAAGGGGAAAAAAATCCTCTTCTTTAATATGTTGGGAACGCAAACTAAACATCCTGGGAACAAAAGCAGAGGTGTGTGTGTGTGTGTGTGTGTGTGTGTGTGTGTGTGTGTGTGTGTGTGTGTGTGTGTGTGTGTGTGTGTGTGTGTGTGTGAGAAAAGTTAACTAAAACACAGTTAAAGAGAGAAAAGGGAGGCGTCATTTACGTCAGAGAAACGGAGAACAATGCTGGAAGCAGACGGTACAAGGTCAACTTGTTATGTTGCCGTCAGTCTGATTGTCTCACAACTGTCTTAAAAAAGCTGTGTAGTTCGCTATTATGGGATAAAAGTGAAAAGTAGTTTTTTATTAAGTAAGAAAGAACAGAATCACGCAATGTTACTTTTTCATTTTATTAATGCCTTATTAATGCAGGGGGCATAAGGATTTTTGAATACAATAATACATTATTTTTTTGTTTTTCACTCGAAAGGACAAAAAATGTATGTATTGTAAAAGTCTGATGTTCGCACCTTTACAGTCTCATGACTCTTCACATTGGTGAACAACAAAATAATAATGTATGTTCATTTACATATGGATTCCACTGATTTCAGTCCTACTACCATAACAAAATTACAAAGCAAATGTCCTAAGGAATGATTTAAGGATTTAGGATGGATCAGAATATAAAATCTGAGCAGTCTTGTTTATGTGATGTTGCAGTTCCATGTATTTCTCAGTAGAGGGAGCTGTCACCTTATCAGAAACCTCTTCTGCTTCTTTGAGTAGGAATGAATGAAAGAGAGCAGGCAACCCTGTGAAAATATTCTGCCACCAAAAACATCAACAGATCACAATAAGTCAAATACATTTATTTTTCTCACCGCCCTTATTGGCATTCATTCATCATATGTGTTTATTTATCCCTAGTGCATTGATATATTGGAATACTATTTAATTCCACATCTGTATAATCCAGTATTCCCTCTGATACAATGAGGTGAATAAAGCTACAGTATACATTTAAAAGCTTTTTTTTGTAGGTTAGTACTTAATTTAAAGCCAGTATTGTATCCCCAATAATGATTGTTCATACAGTATGGTTATCCAATGAACAATCATATTTTTTTTACTGGTGAAACTGTTATCACCAAGGACATGATAGATCAACAATCTGTAATCTGACCTCAAATCTGAAAGACATTTTAATTTCACAACTGACAACAATTAGTGCTTGAAGGACAAAACTGTTTTAATGTCCTTTAGCAACATGCTTCGACATCCTGGCTGCTCACTCAGAAATGCGGCTGAGTAAAAGATAGAAAAATATAATTTGGAGAATCGAGAGAAAATACTGGTCTTGTATTTCTACTTGTGGTCATTTAAAATCACTCAACCAATCGAAAACGAAAAAAAAAGGAAAAGTCCTTCACATATGTAGGCATGAGGAGGAGAGAAATCACCCATGCCTTCGAAGGGGAGGAGGGGGGGTATCTACGTAAGCTCCGTCACAAGTCTCCCAGTTCCCCTCTTTCCTGGGAGGCAGATCTATTTATAGCTTCTGACGTCAGCGGTCTCCTCTGATGGAGCCTCGTCACGGCCGACTACACTGAGCCGGGGGGGGGGAAACAGGTGAGGTGTAGTGGAGCGTTATCACTGAGATAAGTCCTGCTGCAGCACCCCCAGCATCTTCTCCTGTCACACCAATCAGGTGTGAGATGCTGAGCCCTATCACTGTGCTGGATACAGACCCCCCCCCCCACACACCCGGCGTCTGCCTCTCTTTGCATCTGTGAATCTGTATTTCATTCAGCATCAATTGCATAATAGCCATCTCTCATTTAGCCGGCACTGGTTGCTATTGCTTGAGCACTGGAGGCAGGCTGAGCCAAAAATAGAAACAGAAGCAACCTTCCAGGGCTCTGCTTTCTATTGTTACGACTAAGGAAGGAGGGGAATCCATATTGTGACGGATAACAATAGATCTAACTGATACAAATACCTTAGAAGTGACCACTCATGTATCTCCATAATGCTGCCTTAAAATGTCATTTGTTATGCGACAATCTAAAAAATAAGACTTTTATCGTGGTAGAATAGTGAATAGTTTTAGCACAAAAAGTGTTAGTTTTAGTGTTCAAGAAGAGTGCAGTAGTCGAGCAAAGGCACAGATGATGATGAAGCTACAAAAATGAACTATATTGCATTTTGGAGGCTTTTACTTTCCTCTACTGTCTCACTCAACGTCAAGTTATTCTCTGTCACTCTTAGAACTTATTTCTTTATTTTAGCTCTTGCCTCTTTTGTGGTTGCACTTCATATCCCTAGTTTGAAATAATTGTTTGGGTAAAGGGGGATATTTGTTTTGAGTGTGTGTTTGCTACACCCACCCTTCATCTTTCGACCCTGTGGATTGGAGTGATTCCAAAGGGATTTATTTCAGGGCAGCGTCGGGCTGTGATACGGTTTGGTTACAAGAGTTGGACTGAAACCAGGTTTTTTTTTTTAAATACAAGTTCATTTTAATCATACCAAGGAAAACATTTTAATAAAACTATGACCGTAAACGCTAAGCTCATAAAGTTATTTGTTCAGTAATAGGGGTGCCTTTCAATGGGATGGCTGCGATGGGGTGATAAAGGGAGTGGCGGGTGGAGGGGGTGTGTATGGGTAAGTAGCTCTGCTGACGTACCAGGCATGACGTCAGTGTTGACGTCATACGGAGATAGCAGAGGGAAAGGAAGATGTGTGTGAGTGTGTGTGATTGCGAAAAAGCGAGTAATCACAAGGTCGGCTGTTTAAAAAAGACTTACAGCTGGGTAGACAATTTACTCCAACCTTTTATCTATTTTATAACAAGTAAACATAGCATTTTATTCAAGCTATGATATTTAATTTTGATTTGATCGTATCAATAGTTGTCGCATGATGTTCTTGTTCTGGGAGCCTTATCCTTGTATAAGTCTTGTGTCTTCTTGACATGATTTTTAGGATACTTTATTGGAAGAAAAATGTATATGAAAATAGAATGATCTGTGGATACTTCTGCATGCTACACCTAATCATACCTTATCTTAGGTTTAATTCCTGTCTCAATTTGTTGTCAGTGGGTAAAGGAGCTGTTTTAAATAAGTATACGATTAGTTGGGAGTCACTGCGTTGGAAGGGAGTGCTGAGAGGTGACCCCAGTTAATGTTGAATCTATTGTTTCTATTCAAGTTATCAAATAAAGCGCATTTTTACACATTTGGTTTTTACTTTGTTTATCTTGTGTTATTCACTCTTTATAATATTGGTGCCTGTTTTCTTATGGCCCATTGTATTCCTCTTAATGTTCAGGTATGCTAAAGTGGTTTATTAGCAAAAGCGGCAATAGTAGTAGTAGTCTGGCTGATTAGCAGGTGCTGAAACAGTCATATTTATGTATTTTCTTTTCTCTCTCTCCTGTAGTTTTGATGTGGACAATGGCCTGTCGGTGGGTCGCAGTCCACTGGACTCTCAGACTAGCCCAAGTTCTGGTCTGGTTCTTCAGGCCAACTTCCCTCACAGTCAGCGCCGCGAGTCCTTCCTCTACCGCTCCGACTCAGACTTCGACCTTTCGCCCAAAAACATGTCCCGCAACTCGTCCACTGCCAGCGATCTGTGAGTATTTTAAATGTTACCCTCATGTTGCACCTTGCAGTTTTGGGTTGCTGATTTAGAAGTTATTGGTTTACTTCACTGTGAAGTATATTGAATATATATGTTCTTTCATAAAATATCTACAAACTTTCTGATAACAGCGGATCATGGAAGGCTTGAAATTTTATTTGATTCACAATATATTGTGTAAAGAATCAGATCACATTGATTGTATCACTACTGTTGCATTTACTAGGGAAAAACTTGAATGTAATTTCAATATTTGTTAATATCCTATTAAGCTCCGTTTATTTGCCATCTGGCCTTATTTGTCAGCAGTCAAGTTTAGTTGGTGCGTACAACTAAGTCTAAAATGTAATCTCCGCTCAGAAACACTTTATCCAGTCCATGCCTGTTTATACAGCTAGAGATGTATCTGTGCAGAGTGTAAATATGGCTTCTTCCACCAATAGCTGTCACTCCTTTGTTTTGAAGGGAGGAGGGATTGAAGCATTGGGAGGTCAATTGGCTACCTCGGTGAGACAAAGTCTGAAGACTGCTGTGATTCCTCTCTCTTTGGGCTGTGCAATGTTATCATATCTCAAACATATTTGACTCATGACAACATATTACCTCTTCCACCTACACCCACCCTATCCCAAATTGGTTAATCACCCCTGCAAAATAATGAAACAGCCCAAGCAAGCATTTGACAGATGATGTCACATACGTTTAAAGTGTACTAAACATTTGCCATTTTTCAATATTTTCATAATCAGGCTTACATTTCACAGAAATATTTTGTGTTTTTTACCCAAAGTCAAAATCATTGCTGGGCAGGCTGACTTGAGTCTGACTCTGACATTGTACACTTCACTGGCAGCATGGATTTACCCTGAAGTCTGAATAGTGAGGTGCATGTTGAGACTCTAAAGCTCCCAGAAAACTCTACCTCTCCCAAACTCCCAGAACCCAATGCACGAACACCGCTCCTCGCAAATATGTATCTTGGGGGCAAAATCTGTAAGAGCAGAATTAAACCTGCATTAACTTATTTTTCACCCTTATAGCAACACTGACCTAACATTTGATTATTCTGTTGTCACGGCTAACCTATTAGTAAAATATTTCACTGCTTACACAATCAGTGGATACAGGGCAATATTAGCATCCCATTGGAAGGCAGGTTTCCATCCACCCAAAAGTTATTTTAATATTCATTTGCTTTTTACTGTAGCTCCACCAATTCCTAACACAAATAACTGTGTCTTAAGCTGCTGAATTATACAGTACAATTTGACCAATCACATGGAAAATGTATATTTGTCCTTAATGTTGAACAGGTTGACTCTCAGTTTGTTTGCTGGAAACAGAAGCCATGGTTTTACACGGCAAGCTTCATGAGAGCGAAAAGGCCAAAGAACCAAAACATAAAGCTACAAATAGTAATTGATTTAATCATATAAATATAACTTTAAATGACACTTTTATTTGAATCTCAATGGGTAGATACAACCCCTTCCCAAGAACTATTGATAGTCTTTGTCTAAAATTGTCTTCCTCTTTTCTGACTTCCTCTGTCTTATCTAAACCTGTCTGGAGCAGCTTTGTTTTGCTTTTGAGGGTTGAATGATAACCTCCGGCTTTGCCCCAAAGAAATATTTGTATGACTAAAACAATCTGTCCTCCCCTCCTTATGTCCTGTGTGATATTAGAGATCCACTATGGTCCGAAGCCAGCTGTACTCCTCTCTCCTTCTTCACAGTGCTCATATTAAGTTTGTCACAAAGCGTTTTCACTGGATCACTGTTTGTGTTTGTCTGTGGTGTTTTCAGGCATGGAGAAGACATGATAGTGACTCCATTTGCACAGGTTAGTAGCATTACACATTAGTGTTTCGTAAAAATGTGAACATCTGAAATGCACTCGCCACTTTAATTAAAACACAATATATGATCTCAACCCAATGGCTTTTTCGAAGATTTATAAAAATGCACGCACAATCATTTTAATATTGAAGAACAATTTTAAAGGCAGTTTCATATCATGTCATGTTAATTGCTGTAGTGGTGGGTTTACTTTTATTTGATTTTAGTATAAATAATAACTTTAAAAATGTACTTAGTTTACATTCAAACTAATAATGTCTAATTGTAGGTGTGGGTCTGTCCAGACAATCCACATTGCCCTTACTCATCGGTTTAAGGAATAATAGATGGTTCATTTCTTCTCAGAAAACACCCACACGTTCTGAACACTCTCCAATGTTGGCCCATTAACACAATCTGTGTCCATGTTATAATTCCAGACTAATATGTAAAACGTACTTTTGGCCCACCTGTAGTTGAATATTGGTATTGTACCAAGTGCCATTGTTTTCCATTATAATTGAGAGAAGGCGGCCATTTCTAAGGCTGATGTGTCCATCTTTTTCATCTCAATTCAAACAATCTACATTGATGATAGATATGTAAGAGTCACATATGTATTTTTGGGATGAACGTTCCCTTTTAAGGCCATCACACTGTACTGTTTGTTCTGTACTCCTGATATTAAGGGGCACATGTATGTATCTCTAAACAGGACTTTTAATACATCTCCAATACTCATTCCTCTCTTTTTTTAAACTCTTTTTAGGTTCTTGCCAGTCTCCGAACAGTGAGAACTAACTTTGCTGTTCTGACACATCTGCAAGATCGTGTCACAAACAAGTAAGAACAAGAAAGACAGACTGAAGGAGTAACTACTCAAAATGGTATTGTTCTGCTAACCCCTTGTACTTGTTTCAGGCGTTCGACAAGCAGCCAGCAGCCGTCCATGTGCAAGCCATGTCTGACAGGTCAGTGTTATCATCCCTGTTTAGTGGGACACATAATTAGGCTTAGGCATAATTAGCATAATTCATTTCATCTTTGACATCCCTTGTAAAAACACACTTTTATAAACTTTTTTTTATAATTCTCCTGTATTACCTTCAACTCCCATTTTATATATTATATTCTGTTACAGAATACTTTCATGTTATTATCTTTTTATGAAAATACTGTAATTTCATCGTAAATGTGAAAGACATGCTGCAGAGTTTGAACCTAATGGGTTTCAATTGTTGATTTACATGTATTGAATATCAGTCCCTCAGCCGACCTGTAACGTGTGTGTGTGTGACCTCTGACCTTTCAGAGGAGCCCTGCCAGAAGCTGGCGGTGGAGACGATGGAGGAGCTGGACTGGTGTCTGGACCAGCTGGAGACGCTGCAGACGAGACACTCTGTCGGCGAGATGGCCTCCAATAAGGTGAGAGGACATTTGTTAGTTTTAATTCAAACTGTTTTTTAATCCATCACAATTAGGTTGTATGCCTCTTACAATATTTTCTTAAAAAATATGAAAACTTTATCATATGGAGCAAATCAAATATGCAAAAGCCCACATTCAAAAGAGGTGGAGCACTGAGGTCCTACTCTCTTAAAAGTCCCATGACATGGCCATTTATACTGATCATAATTCCATTGTTGAGGTCTACTAGAATAGATTTACATTGTTCAATGTTCCAAACTCACATTGGTTTCTCATACAGCATCTGTGTATAGTATGTGTATTCACTCTCTGTCCTAAACGGCTTGTTGGAGCTCCTGCCCCCCCCCTCCCTATGAGCCCGCTGTGCTCTGATTGTTCAGCCTGCCCTCTTTGTTCTGATGAGTCCACCACCGTTACAGCGGAACATCAGTGATTATGTGTTACAATGGCGTTTTTAATGCTGCGTGGGGTCTGGGTGCCGTGTTGGCAGGACGTTGCGGGGCTCGCTGCTCCGCCCTTTGAGGCTCGAGGAGCAGACAGTGTGAGCTGGATTACTGGTGTCGTTTCCTGGTTGCTGCGTAGGGTCTGCGTTCTGGGGCAGCATAGACAGGTCTTTTCTGTGTTAGAGTTTTACTCGCTACAGAGAAAAGACCTGTCTATGCTGCCCCAGAACGCAGACCCTACGCAGCAACCAGGAAACGACACCAGTAATCCAGCTCNCAAATAACAAACAGGAAAACCAGGCAATGAAGAGGCACTACGAGGCCAACTCACACACACACACACACACACACACACACACACACAGCGCTGAGACAGATGACTTCTCTATTTTGTCCTTTCACCTCTTTGGGAAATCTGTCCCGTCCTCTCTGTCGTCATCAGTAGGGTGTGTGTGTATATCAACTAAAACTGAGTAGGACAACAGACATTGGACAAAAACGTGGCACTACCTGGAGACTTCTTGTGATTTTTAATAATTTCAGGGATCATCACTGGAGTCAACATTGAGAGAATCCTTCCATCCTTAATGGGGCAAGATATATTAATCATCGTCTGTGTGATAAGGGAAAAATAATGTACGCATCACTTATATTACTGATATTTGGTCACCTTGTGTTTTTAATTTGCATAATTGTCATCTATATTTGTGTATAATGGTTGTGGTCTTATTACAATTCCAGAGACACATTTACATTTTTCAAAGTAATCTGATTCCTTTAGGAACAATAGAGAGTTGACATACAGCCTCAGCATCTCAGCAAATTCATATTTTTATTTGTTTTGGTCCTTTTTCAGACTATCTTACCTATGGACAACAGAGAACAGTCTCATCATCTGAGTGACAACAAGCAGGATGAATTCCTACATCCGTGGTTCCTACAGTTTAATGCAAGTTGTAAGTTGTGACAGAATGAAATTCATTACAATCGCATCCTGCACGTAAACGTCGTAAAATGTGGGTGACACAGGTTGTAACACTTTGCTGTTCTTAGTACAGTTAAAAGCACGTGGAGCCAGAAAATCAAAATCTCCTTGTCTTAGTTTTTGTAAGACATATTGATTTAAGGCATTTTAATACCAATGTAGGCCTTGTGTTGGATTAATGAATCGAATGCCTGAAGGACTTTTTAACGATCTGAGTGAACCCTGTATTCAAATCAGATTCTCTATTGACAGTAGCTCCTGTCCAGTGTCTTTGTCATTGTGGTCACATTTTTCCACACACTGTATTTAAAGGGTTTCTGACCATGGGCCTGTGCGTCTGCTCCTGACCTCCAGTGTGACAGAGACAATAGTGGGCAGAAGATCATCTGATACAGGAAAGAAAAATGGAAAATATGTTGGATATGTGTGTGTCGGTCTATGTGTGTGTGTTGGTGTGTGAGTGTTAGTGAGTGAGTGTATGTGTGTGCGTGTGCGTGTGTGTGTGTGTGTGTGTGTGTGTGGACTTCCTGAGCATCGGGTGATAACGCAGCTTCCTGTGGACCAGATTGATGAACTAATATTGAATTTAATCTTCCCTTTGTGAGCGGTCCGGAGACCTGGCAACCGGACTGGAGAGAGGTCATGACCGCATCAAACTCACAATCATACACACACACTCACACACACACTCACACACACACACACACACACACACACACACACACACACACACACACACACACACACACACAGCCTGTTTGTAGATCCAGTCCTGAGTCAGATCCAACGGGCTCCCTCACTCAGCATTGAGCACCCCCCACCCCCTGCAAAGCCTGCACTGCTGATCAATAGATCCCAATGTAAACAAGGCAGCCAGCAGCACTCCCCGTTGCTCACCTGTCTGAGTCTCCAGCACAGACAACCGCAGAGAGCCGATGCCGGCATGTTAACCCACGCATGCTGATGTTAGAGGCTGCTAAAAATCCAAAACGAGAAGCAAAAAAAAGTGACGGGCTGCTCACTCAGACTGCTCCACACTCAGCAGGGATGGCTTGCAAATGAAAAAGAAGTCTGTCTGGGAAAATAAAGTTCCCACAGTCCCATGTGCTGTCCTGAAGGTAAAGGGGGGGTCGGAGGGGATGGGCTGGGCGGGGTGAGGTGGGGGAGGTTGGGGATGTGGTCTACCATCGGGGGAGGAAGGGTGTGGACTGCAGTTGCTCATCCAACTACTGTCACACACTGTCAATGAGAAACATGGAGAGGGAGAGCGAGAGGCTGTGAGGAGCCCCCCCTCCCCCGCCCCGTACGCTGCCCAATCAGATGGGTCCGGCATCAGGGGCTGGGTGGAGGAGAGGGATCTGATTGGCCTCCTGGGAGATGGAGGAGGACTGAGTGTAGCAGCCAGACGGTGGAGAGGAGCATGAGGGAGGGAAGCTGGGAGATGAGGATTTACTCTTTCATAGATGGAGAGTGTTCTGGTCATGTTCACACTGAGGCTGCATGTGTAATCACATCCCATTTTCTCCCCTCATATGCTACCTAAATTCTCTTACAACAATAAACAGGAAGAAGCAACTTGCAATTCTGTTCTGCACACATGGACAGGAGCAACAGACCCAGATCTGGAAGCATGTGACCTGCTTGTGATTCTTATTTGAAAGCTAAAATAAAAACATGTCATTGTTGTCATGACAAAAGCAAACACTAAAAATATATGAGACAAAATATATTACCAGCAAAATATCCTGTTGAAATATTAAAGATTGTTGTGTCTGCCGTGGACGTTTTTCTATTTACTTGAGGTAAGGTATATTGTATCTTAAAGGGGACCTATCATGCAAAATGCACTCTTCTACGTCTTTTATACATGAATATGTGTCAGGGGCGCTGTAGTCTGCCACAAAAGCAGCGAAGAAGACTTCCCGCGCATGGTTGCCATGGTTGCCCTTCTGTTTATTCTCCGCTGTGGACACTCTGGTTATTTTTCTCCCTCCCCGAGGCAAGCGTTTTCTCCTGCTGCTGTAATTCTCTCCGGTTTGCCACCAGCAGATGACAAACACCCACCTCTCCGCCGGTCAACATGTCCGTTAAAGTTTAAATCTTCCGGACAAAATTAGAAAAGTGCCGGTCAAAGGTCTTCTTTGTTATTTATTGAGCTTTGAAACAAATGAATAACGACTCTATATAATCATATAAGAATAATACACGGAGGACGGAGCCTCTGTTTTTCTCCCCCTCTTCTGAGAGCCCAGCAGCTGATCAGAGCATGCTCCCCTCTCCTGCAGGGGGGTGTGGTCAGCTGCAGCTCATTTGCATTAAAGCGACGTCACAGAATCAGCCCTTGCAAAAACAGGGCTAAAAAAGAGCAAATAGAGCGAAATGAGGCATGGCTAAAATGCATGATCTGTTTGGTATTTTGAAAAAAAAGTTCACAGACATGTTTTATATAGGTATGGCCCTACAATATATTATTCAAATATAGCATGATAGGTCCACTTTAAATTCAGCCTCTCCATCTCTTTTATTATGTTTTGTTATCGCTTATTGTGTTTTATATCATTAACATCTTCTGTAGATTTCTTAGACAATGATTTTGACCCTCTACATTTTTTATGAATTGTTTTATACTTTAGTTTATGTATGTCATCGACGTGTGATTGACAAGATTTATCTCAATGGTTTCCAGCTTACTTGGCATTTATCAGCCATACAGGACTGTCTCAGAAAATTAGAATATTGTGATAAAGTTCTTTATTTTCTGTAATGCAATTAAAAAAACAAAAATGTCATACATTCTGGATTCATTACAAATCAACTGAAATATTGCAAGCCTTTTATTATTTTAAT